TCTGGGGAGGTGTTTTTTCAGGTGATGCAGTGTCAGGTTCGTATTGCGTTGCCCAAAGCACAGTTGGCATCATCGATACGGTGCTGGCACGATCGATGCGCTGTGCCACGTGTTGTGGACGATCCGGAGGCAAAAATGCATACAATAACGGACGCAGGTTATCGGTATCGCTACCATCGGCCCGGTGTTGACACACTGCCACGATTGCCCGGTTGCAAAGTACCGGTGCATAGGCCCGACTACAAAGTACGAGATAACTGGAGCAAAGCACAGGCCAGGTATTGCTACATTTTTGTGTACTAATTTTTCAGATTTTAATCGTTGTTGTCAAATGTAACATTCATGCATTTCTTTAAAATTACACAAATTAAATTTACACAAATTAAATTTAAATTTAATTTGCACCAACCACAATTACCACAGTCGTCGTACTGAGAGGTCCAATTTTGGTAATGGTAAGAAATGTATACGACTTAATGGACCGAAACATTTCTTACCATTGAAAATAATTGTATCAAAATAATTTCACTATTTTTACTAATTCCTCAATATTATTTGCTCTTCTCTTCTTCCTACTTTAAGACACTTTTCTATTTAAAATGAACAGAAAAGTTGCTAGTTTAATCGGGCGAGACACAGGGCTACGTACTGAATATAGTAAAGTCAGGGCTACATACATATGTACGTAATATACATACATATATACATATATATATACATATATATGTACATATACATATATGTGTATATATATGCATGCATAAGTATACGTATGAACATTAAAATAGTAAGATGAACAGGAATGTTTCGGTCCATTAAGTCATACACATCTCCCACAACTGAGCCGCGTCGTTACGACGATTGTGATCTCGATTTAATAAATATTCGAAAGTGTGGTAAATTTACAAAAATGAAATCAGGGGTGTGGTTTAATTTGGCCGTAATGATTGGGTTGTTTTCGTCGTATTTTCTTACTGAAACAGCTCACCTGGGCAACACAGAGGGCATTTGTTGTTAGCCTGGTTC